CGCCTCGCGCTCCCTGCTCACCGCTGCGCGGCTTTTGACGCAAAGGACAGCCCGCGGAGAAGCCGGCTTGCGGAGGCCAGGGCTCGGGCGTGAGGTTCCATCCCTTTACGTCCCCCACCCTCCTCCCGCAGTCTCGCGGGGCGGGCGTCTCTCGCCAGCGCCTTGGCATCGCTGGCCGCCTGGCAGGCCTAGGACCTCTCGCCCCTGACTAACCGTGCGCCCCCGGCCCGGCCAGTCGTTTTTGAAAGTGCGATTGCTCAAAACGTTACCTTATGCATTAGCGTGATCGATTTCCATCTTTAAGCCATTAAATCAGCTTTATAGCTTCCAGAGGAACGTGGGCACACCCCAATTTAGAAGATAAAAGACAGCCCTCCCGCCTGAGGGGCAGGAATTGGAGTGAGGTGTGGGGTTTTTAGCTTTACGACCGGGAGGGAGGAATTAATTGCCGGAATGTTGCTCCTACGGAGAACTGGGCGGCACTGCGGTCCAGGTTTCCTAAAAGATGTTTGTTTAACCCTGGTGGGAGGGGGTGGGGAGCGACTTTTTTCAGCTCTTAGGGAAGTCCTCACCCTCATCTTGCACACATGTGAATTGCCTTCTCAGGAAATAACAGGGTCCACATTTGGTGTGCAGCCAGACCCTGAAAACTACGCGCAGAGAGCGACCTTTTAAAGGATTTATTTAGTAAGCTCTGGAGTCCATTCAGCTCTTTGCATCTCTCTTTCCAGGTCACAGAGCATTCCCCTTCCCGCCCCGTTTTAGTTATGCATTTAATTTCCCGGAGGCCACTCTCGGCAGGGGTTTTGTGAGTGCAAGCGATGGGGCCTTTACTGAAGCCAAATATCATGCGCCCGACATCTTGCTAAGTCTTCTTAGAATTAATCGCCGAGCGAAGGAAGCGCAGGACGCCCTCGGTGGCGGCGGGGTCGGATATTCCGTTTCAGGTCGCGCGTGGAAGGCCGAGAGAGGCCAGGAGAGAGCCGCCAAGCCCGCCGGGTCGCTCCCGCCCCCCTCAGATCTGCCCCAGCTTCTTCCTCTCCCTCTTTGTTCCAGGAGGGGCGGCTCCGCCCTGCGCTCACCTCCAGCCCCCGGGGCCGCCCGTCCGCTCCCCGGTGGGGGTTTGGCGGG